TTTGTGGCTTCCTGTGACAGGGATTGTGACGTCACTATGGGGCTTGCTTTTAGCATGGAATATATTTATAAGCTGTGTGGAATCGAGGCTTAGTGTCCATCTGTAAGCGCTAACATTGGCTGAGCTCACACACGACGCAATTGGGATACGATGACATACATCAACCAAATATGCCAGCCAAGGATTAAATGAGATTAATGAAGTGTCTTTGAGCGTTTGCTTTTAATAAAACAATATGCGTCACAACCGAGGCAAATCTGGCATACCACCCCTTGCACGTGCTGTACGTGCTTCATGACTGTTATAAGGTTGCATTTGGGAGCTGCATTTTTTTCGGAAATGTTCTTGCCACATAAATCACCTACTTTCATTGCCAGACATTGGAGTATTTTCATGGTTTTCCAAAAGCACAAAATATCCTCAACTCGTTTGCATGTTATTGACCTCTATCTGAAGCTCAGTTACGTTTTCCGTTGGTATATACACCACGTAACCGCTGTGACCAATGCGCTTATAGTTTTCAATTAATAAATATAAAACAATATCTGTTTTACAAACTTGAAGGTAAGCCACGTCAGCGAGCCTGACCACTCGATCTCGTTAATAGTCTCTTACGACAAGAAGTGTCTAAGTGGAGTTTGTAGACAACAATACGGCGACGCACTGGGCGACAAACTTTAAAGTAGACTTTGCCAGCCACTTACAAGGACTACATGTAACGTAACTTTATGTGTAGCATTAGCAGAATACGATTGAGGTCGAGGCATTGTTATCGGGCTTGCACGCTTTGTGCACGGTAAAATACTTTGTACGCATGACATAATGCATTTGTCCCAATGATGTCAGTTCATTTTGTGCGCACGGTATGGTATTGCGTGTGAACATGATACTACATCGTGTGCACACTTTAGTATCTCGGGGGCACGATATGTAAATACTTTCTGCTCCTATTCATGGCCCATCAGCGCTCCCGAAGGCAACAGCTTTGACAGGCGGGAAATGGCGCCTTGTGGTACTTTGTTGTTTTTTCGTACAAAATATAATTTCCAGTTTCAAATGCCGCAACTTTGACTTTGGCTGGAAATGGCAGTAGATAGATGTAGTGGTAAACTGTGTCTTTTTGATAGCTTTGGATTTTCCCAACAGATATATACTGAGTCAAATTAAAAACTTCGCTCACAACGGACAAATGTATCAGAGAAGGTAATTTTGAATCATTAATGTCCAAAGAAGGATTTTAATTAACGGTGGTAACCATAATTTGTTTTAAGCACCTACGGTATTCGGTAATAACATCAAAAGTTTAAATAATAAGTCCCAAGCACGAGATCTGATGGCACACAAGTTCAGTAGCGTGTATGGCAACCATGTGCGTTGACAACTGCCACACAACGCCCCCGCATGGACCTTGTGATGCTTGTGAACACATGATTGGGAAGACGACGCCATTGTTGCTGCAAAATGGTGCAAAGATCTTGCAGGTCTGTGGTTGGTTTGGGAGAGTGCGCAGACTTCTGCCAAGAGCATCCCAGACGTGTTCGATGGAATTGAGGTCGGGAGACCTTGACGGCCAGTCCATATGCATGACGTTGACTCCCGCATTCTAAAGGAAATTCCTTGTCAAAATTGCTGTGTGTGGTCTGGCATTGTCCTGTTGGAAGATCAAACCGGGTCCATGTGCTGCCATAAAAGGCAGAAGTTCTGGTGCCAGTACCTGGTCGCGGTAAGCAGCAGCGTTGAGGTTGCCACGGATGACAAGAAGCCTGGAACATGCATTGCCACAGAAAGCATCCCACACCATGACACTTCCGCCTCGAAATCTGTCAACTTCCTGTACACAACACTGGGCGTAACGTTTATGACGGCGCCGCCAGGCCCTCGCCCTACCATCACCAAATCGAAGATTAAATCGGGATTCATCACTGAAGACGACTTGATTCCAATTACTCTGAGTCCATCGTAAGTGTTGCTGTGCCCACAATTGACGTTGACGTCTGTGTAATTGAATCTGAATCGGCCCGCAGTATGGCCGTCGTGCTTGAAGGTGAGCAGTTCTCAGACGGTTTCGAACAGTTTGCGCACTCTCTCTACCCCTAAACAGTTCATTTATGGTTGATGTAGCCGTCCAAAATCGGTTACGGAGGTGACGTAAGACAATCTGACGATCCTCTGCATGTGACGTCACACGTGGTCGACCTGGCCGAGGGCGATTAGCGATGGAACCCGTTTGCTGTAGACGCGTCTGTAAATCATAAACAGTCCGTCGACTACAACCCATCGTCCTTGCGACTTCAGCTACGGACGTTCCCGTCTGCAACATGCCGATAGCACGTTCACGTTGCACATTTGAAAGGCGTGGCATGACAAATGGCCGTAAAGACTTTCGTTTTCTTGTGTTTTTTGTTGTTGTTAATGACTGCTAACAAGTATGGCTGAAAAACACGTGCGGTATTATGGCCACGTGACCAGTTGCAAGTGAAAAACCACTTTTGCCACTATAGTGCTGTGCACATGATTTTGATCGATTCACCTTCACAAAAACGGGTGTTATCTGAAGACAATACGTGGCCATTACTGTTTAAATACACAATAAGGGCACACAATGATAACTGGTCAAAATGTTAAAATTTTAGGATTGTGAAGTTTTTAATTTGTTTCAGTATATTTGTAAAACAATCACATGCGTACGCACTATCGGAAGCCTTATTGTAAGTTTTCATTGGCATGTACGTATTTCGAAATATATTCTATGTTTTATTGTGCCCGTTCAGACAAATATAGCTCAAGGCAAACCAACCATTACTGTTTAAATACACAATAAGGGCACACAATGATAACTGGTCAAAATGTTAAAATTTTAGGATTGTGAAGTTTTTAATTTGGTTCAGTATATTTCGCGTTTTGATGCCAACATCTTTGACTTAGGCTGGAAATGGCGGTATTCCTGTAAAGTGTACAATACTTCTTCACCAAACTTGGTATGCACTGATGATGAACTGGTGCCTTTTGATAGTTTGGGATTTTTAAAAAATAAAATATAAATTTCCAGTTTCCATCTTTGTCCTCTCGTACTTGTGTCAATGGCAGGTGCTACCAGTAGAACAGGCATGCTTACACTTGTCGCTAACATATTGTGTCAACACTGATTGTCAGTGATCCTTTCATACAATTTCATCAGTATTTTGGATTTTACGTCCAATATAATCTGTTTCTGCAGATAATCTTGACTGGTTATTCTCTTGCAGTTACAATTCATATTTGATAGACATTCAGAAAAACATGTTCACGTGAACATTTTATGGATAAAGAATCAATGTTGTAATCCATAAGTGGTTTCATGTCGTCAAACCTTACATGAATGTAACACTTGAATCATATCATTTTAATGAAGACGAACATGATCACAAGCTTACTACACCAACAATAGTAACGTAGTCAGCCCACCTTTGTTTAAGAATATAATATGAAAAGAATATAACATTGTTGTTACCGTCGATATATGGCGGAGATTTTGCCGATGCAACTTAATTCATATTCTCCATATTATCAGCAATCGTTCCCATCATTAGTTTAACATGATCACGACTGACATGTTAAGTCTTTGAATGATGTTACGGACCGAAGGTTTTCGTCATACTTTTACAAGTTTGGATTTAATTGCATTCAGGTTTACGTAAAAGGTGACTAACGGGATCGGGTTGTCAGGCTGGCTGACTTTGTTGATGCATGTCATCGATCCCAATTGCGTGGATCGATGCTCATGATATCAATCACTGGATTGTCTGGTCCAGACTCGATTATCAACAGACCACCGTCATATAGCTGGAATATTGCTGAGTGCGGCGTGAAACAACAAACAAACAAACCAAATCTAAAGGCAAACTTGGATAGTTTGGCTTCTTATATCAGTATTGTTTGGTTGGGATGACAAAGTGGACACAATTTATGAACAACAACTGCTTTATTTCAACTCATTTAGCAATAATCAGCCACCAATGTATTTTAATCCTGTTTGATTCGCTCCCTGCCTCATTGCTTTCCTCATCATGTGTTCTCTGTCCATCATGGTATCCTGGTAATCCTGGTAATCGTATTCCCAGCTGAAGTAAATATAAAACCTCAATGGCAGACACTAACCAGTTTCAATTATCAACCAAAACGAGATGACATTGGGCGTATAAAGCAAAAGTAGGGGTTTTTTTTTTGCTTGGCGTCACACGGCAGTACTCGCACTGCCATACAACGTTGGCTTGTAAACAAACAGACAATCAAGTGATTCACCAGAAAACCCAGTGACACGATTTAAACTAAACTTTAAACTAGACTTTTTTTTAAAACTAAAACGATATGTTAATTTTGAATAACGTACGCTCTGCAGTTTAAGGTTACGTGTAACAGTGTGGCATGCATATCACTGCTTGGAAACGAAATTGGGAAGGACGGATCACAAAGACTTAGTTTTTTAATCCTAGAAATACAACGGTATTACACTGACATTGTGGTTAACTAAGCAAATATATAATATAAAGAATTTATTCAATAGGGACAATGGAAACGTCAGGTCAAGAGATGACTGCAATTAAAGGTTTTGCCACCGTGATTCGTCCTTTCATCTTTAATGTATGTATTCTAAATAGATTCCGAAACAGTTAGATATGGAGACACCTATCACTAGTATCATGGGTCTTGGCCATGCGTTTAAAACTGAAATAGTATTTAAATCGAAGCTGTTCCAGCTGATGAATATTGATTGTGCTTAATATATGACTGATGATCTATCCAAATCACCATTCCAAATGGCACAGGGCTTTTTAGAATTTGGGATTGAAGAAAAAGGTGATACTTATCCAGAAACGTATTCATTCATTGATATCCCAGCGAATGACAATATATTTGTAAAACAATACGGTTAGTCACATACGTACGCACTATCGGAAGCCATATTGAAACTTTTCATTGTCATGTACGTTTTATTTCGAAATATATTCTATGTTTTACAGTGCCCGTTCAGACAAATATAGCTCAAGGCAAACCAACCATTCAGTCCAACACGTACCACAATGCTGTCTCGTCCTATGCTGTGGATGGTGTAACAGGAGGAAACTTCCATACTGACCGTTGTATGCACACACGTGGTGGCAACGGCTGGTGGATGGTGGATCTTCTTCATGTGTACAATATTTCGAGGATCACTGTTTTCAGGAGAACAGACGTCCTCGGTAAGTTGGGAAGATTAGCATACATTTTAGTCAAGCTTCCTTGAATTAGTACAACTTATCCCCAGAAAGGTTGTGTGGGTGGCAAAGATAAATAATATTTTGTGCATATAAAAGTAAATATAAGCAATAAAATATTTCCATAATCTTAAGAAATCTCGTCTGAAAGAAGAAGTCCATTTACGTTTCCGACTATTCCGTGATCATGTGAATTAGAAATGGACAAAATACTCTTGGTATTGAACTTTTTCGTAGGGTGTTGCCAATATTGAGGATGATGCCGTCTTATGTAAACACTGTCATGTAATTGAGGATGAACTTCATGTAATATATAATTGTCCTCCTTATGCAGGTCGGCGGGAAATGTTTATACCAAAGACAGTTAATCTTCATTAATTTTGTTAAGAAAGACTCTGTCAGTTATCCAACAATGATACAAGGATTAACTTTCCAAAATTTTAATGTACGCGTTCTCAAACAAGAGTCGTCAGAAAGATGACATATCCCCCCGGCAGTTGTCTGTAAAGTAACCACAAGTAAATGTGCAATTCTGTATGTAATGAGTCAAGAGTTGAATGTTCTTGAAGAAGCATACATTGTTTACCCACAAAAGATCCATCATGGTCGCATCCATATGAAATGGAAAGTAAAACAAGTGTGTTTCTTTTCTTAGGTTTGTTTTATGCAAACAAATGACAAATTACAAGACACAATAACTTTGGTTGGTTGGTTTGTTGTTTAACGCCGCACTCAGCAATATTCCAGCTATATGACGGCGGTCTGTAAATAATCGAGTCTGGGCCAGACAATCCAGTGATTAATATCATGAGCATCGATCCAAGCAATTGGGACCGATGACATGTATCAACCAAGTCAGCTAGCCTGACCACCCGATCCTGTTAGTCGCCTTTTACGACAAGCATAGTCGCCTTTTACGGCAAGCATGGGTTGCTGAAGACCTATTCTACCCCGGAATCTTCTCTGGTACACAATAACTAAACAAGCTTATAGTCAATGCAGTCATCTATATCCCCCGCCCATTTTAACACGTTATGGTCCCAACCCAGGTAACTTACCCAACATTTTTCAAAATAGCTGCAAAACAAATCAATAAGTTAACTCTTAGACAAAAATATATAATGTATTTACAATGTACAATGGGTCAATTGGCCTTTATACAAATATATCTGTCTGTCTGTATGTGTTTATGGACCCGTGAAGCTTCCGGGGTAGAATAGGTCTTCATCAACCCATATTTGCCATAAAAGGCGACTATGCTTGTCGTAAAAGGCGACTAGCAGGATCGGGTGGTCAGGCTCGCTGAATTGGTGAATGCATGTCATCGTATCCCAATTGCGTGGATCGATGCTCATGAAGGCAATGACTGGATTGTCCGGTCCAGACTCGTTTACTTTACAGACCACCGTCATATAGCTGGACTATTGCTGACTGCGGCGTTAAACAACAAACAAACAAACAAACAAACAAGCATATGTTTATGAATTGCTATCAAATAATGCTGATACCATGATACTAGTTCAGCCCTCACAAACACACGCAACGGTAAGGCTATTTTCACCTATAATAGCATGGGAACGTATGGTACCAGTCAAAATAGGGAATTGCATCGGACATACATGTACTTTTGGTCACAGGTCAGTATTCAGATAACGACCTACAATCGGGAGGAATTCAGGTGAAACTAAGTGCTCTAGATACACTCCGTAGTATGGCTGTATGAATGATATGGTGTTTTAGGTCGCCCAGATCTTTTTAAAATCGTCGGCTTTGATCTGCATCCTACACTCTGTCCTCTATCATCCCCGAAAGTCTGCGTCAACCAACTCGGCAATTTCACAGGTCAATCCAAGACTGTGCCTTGTGAACAGGAGGTCATGGCCAGATATGTAAAAGTTTCCTCCTCTGCTAACGTGATGATGTGTGAGATGCAAGTGTTTGGACAGAAAATAGGTGAGGCATATATTAATGGCACTCTGGGATATTTAAACTTCCCTTGAGACAGGACGAAATGTATCTTTCACAAAATCGAAAGGTATTTTATTTCACTGTCAGGATCGAGACAATGAAAAATTGTAATATCAGAATAAATGTAATTCTTAAAAACGGTTTGACCACAGTGATATTTAGGTAACTATTAAGGATACTATTACCTGGGGTGTAGCTGTTTATACTACTTGTATCACATCAACGTTAACTAACAAGTAACATAAGTCCCAATAAAATAATGCTATGATTGGGAACGGGTGGGACGCTCCTGGCTGTTTGAGTGTCATCGATCAGTGTTCTTCAGAAACTGGTTCAGAATGTCCTGGTGAACCTATTTCCAAGACTGAGCTGGAAGTTTGCTGAATTGCACACTGAGCCATTAGATATACAAGTTTGTATACGAATTGATAATTACAGGTGGATGCTTGAGGAATAAGTTACAAGTGAAAGACGGCAACAAACTGGATGACTCCTCTATCACCATGTTACGTGGTAATGCCTCAAGTCATGTGGAGTGCAGCATCAACTGTTACAGACTCCACAACTGTCTGTTCTTCAACTTCAACAGACTGACTGGAGAATGTCAGACAGGAAGTGGCCAGGAAACTTCCGCTTCTTCCTCGGCAGCTGGCTGGGACTTCGGCACATTTTGTTAAAGGGCTGTTTATCCTGTCTCTGCTGAATATGTTTCATATATGCCAACTGTTTATGTATTTAATATGTTTTTATCGAGGCAGGATAGGCCTGTGACTACGGAATTTTGTCAGGTTTGGGACTTACTTAATCCAACATCACACACCTTAATGTGAAATCTCAAACATATAGATGTTATTTCTATGATTGTGTTAATATGCTCAATGACGTTATGCAAGCCATATGTTTATGAACAGATGTTGAATAAGTCATGGGGAAACATGGTATTCAATATACAGTGAGTGAGTGAGTGAGTTTATGCTTTACGTCACATCGGCAATATTTCAGCCCATCGTTTTAAATATACAGATCTGTAGAATTTCTCTATATTGACGAAATATATGCTTGTGTTCTTATGTGTACCTTGTAAACATATCTAAACACTTTCACTAATTTGAAAGATGAATGTAGACTTTGTGACTTTGCTGAGGCCTCAGGATGTTTCAGAAAAATAAGCGGGAACTTTCACAACTTGTATCTACACATTTTTGTATTACCGTGTTCGTGTAATGGCAAAATACAATTACTAAACTGATCACGGTCGTGAATTCAAGTACTGATCAATATCGCTGCGATGGGTTGTTCGTTTCACGGCCTATTCCTACACCTGTATCCAAAATTCTATACGTTATCAAATCTCAAAACTGGACCCGTTTGCCACCACTGCTTCGTTTCGGAAATAATGACGCCGGATTCAATTCTAGATCGCTTATCGCGAAGCACATTTTTCGGTTCCAGTTGTACTTCCAAAAGTCAAGTCGATTTGTATGTTCATCTCTCTGAATATTTGACCGTCACTGAAGATCATTTATATACCAGAAGCTTGTTCACGTGAACATTATCTGATCATCGATACACCTTTATATGTAAATCTATATATAAATGAGATTAAAAAATAAGTGTTTCAAAGTATGGCTACGCATTAACTTACTTTTCTTGATAAAACGATTAATGTAAACGTTTACCTCAAAGCTTTTGTGAAAAAATCCCGGAAATACTTATAAAATCAGGTGTTAAACTCCTCACATGTTTATACATAAAGCACCATACCTTGACCTGCAGCCATGAATAACACATTTATCTAAACCGATTCAAACAGCTTGTGTATATTTGTCTTTTTCAAATTATTGTTTAAAACAACGGGAAAACGGGAAAACCTGGTGACATTTATGTTTTTGAGACATATTTCCCTTTTACGCTCAATGGAATCTTTTCAGCAGAAAATCGAGACTGGTTAATTTCTGGACTTTTTTGTTTTATTGTGTATTTATTATCTTCTGATAACTTAATTGTCTCGTTGTTTTCAAGGTATTTGTTTAATGGCATAATAAAAATCTATTACTCAATGAGCTTGTTGGTATCGTATTTACTTATATTGCCTTATTTGTTTTGCTTGTTTTGCCCTGCTGTCATCAATATTCCAGCTTTAGCACGGCGGTTGACTAGAACACTGTAAACACCTGATCAATGGTGGACATCAATACGGTTTCAAAATCCTAAGAATAATTGCCTGATGGTATTGATAAGTTACATACAGTTAAAGATATTGGGGATATGTTCAACTGTAGCAATTACTCCTTGATGACGTTCTCCATAATCTGTTGTCATGCCAAGAGCATGACAAGTTACACTAATATCTCGGGAAGCAGTGTAGCGGTGATATTGAAGTCACTGTAATCGTTTTGGTCTTAATGACATAGAATAGACGCCATCTGGGATATTGTTAACCTGACCACATTTCACGTCAGTGGTGTGACAAATAAAAAACTGCTTGGTATCATCACTATATATTATTACCATAACTTCATCCAAAGTTCTACATTGTTTCAAATCTCCATTCTGGAACTGTTTGCCATCATAGCATCGCTTCAGAAACGTCATTTCTTAATCTCTTATCACGAAGCACAGAAGTATTCACGTTTACGAGCTTTACTCTTATGACTCTCTGTGGGAATCGCGTGTCGTCATTTTCAGTGACAGATCCATATATGTTTACCGCTATTTTGCATGAAATGTTAGTTATTATAGTTAAAATCGTGGATTTCGTGCCAAAGATTGTACTTGTGACTAATTTGTGCCTGAAGAGACGATTACAAACCAGGCCGTTGGTATGAATAGAACCTATGCTTGTACTACAAGGTTATTTTTATGCATCGATGGTTAGTCACGGTGATTTTGTTGACTGTGTGCCATCACACAGGTAACTTATACAATGATAACAAAAAAGGACAACCGACAGCATGGAACAGTAATAACCACAGTTTTAAATGGTCCAGTATTTTTTAGATGGCCATGAAATCTAAAGCATACCTTTAATTGGAAAATGTGTTCGCCACAATGAATTTTAACATGGTGGTACAAGATTACGAAACCTCTTTGGGGTGGTATAATCCCAATGGGTATTATAACCCCCAGATGCACATTCACATACATTTAACTAATTCCACACTTTAGTACTGCTGCTCCTACATATACAATGTGATTCGAGATCGATGTATCCATGGATCGGGACAGTCTCCTCTCATTGAGGCATCAGTCTTCTGATCCTCATGTAGAAGCTCCTGTATTTACTGGAAATTTCCAGTGTGTGTGACCTTACTTTTAAGTTCTTTTGTGTCCGTCTTCAGAAAATATTGTTACCTTTAGTTACACTTAAATATCTTAATGTTTCCTTAATCTTCTGGCATAAATTGTAAAGGTTGTTTCGTAAAATAGACATATGATTCATAAACACATGCTCGTGATATAGTTGGAATCGTGCAATCGACTCTCCTTTTTGCAGAGATTTCGTGTGAATATGGAAAGGGTTTTGTCGATATTTGCTCCACATTTGAGAATGTATCAGTACAATATACGACGAGTAATTCGCAACACAATACATTGTTACATACGCACGCAAACACGCACCCACTATTATATACTGGTATATTATAATGTTCCAACCTGGTAGGGAAACCTGTGATCACGTATGAACAATTAATGAGTTAAAATGTTTGCATCAGGGGTTATCCACACAAATACAATTACTAAGTTGCTCCTCGTGATCTCGGAAACCATCGCTACGAAATACACACCACGTCAAAGACAATGATTTACCCACTCACAAGAACCAAATTAATAATTTGTGTAGTTAAATAGGTTTAATACAATTACATTCTGCTGCCTTTATTAAGTTATCTTTATTGTTCTTCATGCCATTGTTTCGAAGAATCCATTTTGTTACAATCTAATAGATTAGACCATGCTATTAAAATAATTCTTGTTTGTACAGTTTTTATTTCTAACAATATTCACTTCTTACAAGAGTGTTCATGAAGGAGTGTAGATAGGCATCGTGCAACACGTTAAACTATTTTAATGACGTTAGCATCGATCATCAAGGCCAATCAGTGTCATTGTTTTCAGAAGCAGAAATTAACGAGATGGATCGGGTACAGTTATTTGGAATTGCATTTTGTAGGCATCCATGCGATAAACAAGGTTTTGAGTTTTACGCAACTCAAAATTAATTATATATACACATGCACAAAAGTTAAGCGCCACCATATTCATAGTCTCTTGATTTCACGTGTGGGAATCAGAAATACGAAATATGATGATGTATGACTGAATAGCATGTGGTGGGGGGTCTGTCATGATCATATGGGGTTGTGTTTCCTTCCGCTGCAAACTTCCGCCGGTGACAATTCGTGAAAACCTGAATGGCCAACAATACCAAGATGCCGTTCTTCACCCAGTGGTAGTCCCTCATTTTGACAAACATCCTCTTCAGACAAGACCTGTTTACATGGACGACAATGCTAGACCACACAGATCTCGGGCAGTTTTGGCTTATTTGCATCAAGAAGCTATTGCCCCTCTTCCTTGGCCAGCCTGTAGTCCGGATCTTAATCCGATTGAGCTTCTTTCGGACATTCTTGGCCGGAAAATTAGACATCATGCGATCCCCAGTTCAAAATCTCGCTGGATGCCGCACTTAATGAAGAATGGATCCGTTTGCCTCAGAGAAGCATTCAACGACTTGTAATGAGTATGAGGCGTAGGGTTGAAGCTTAGGTCAATGTCCGTGGATCATACACACGTTACTGACGTTTCTGTCTTGCAATAGACTCTGCAATTCCTTTCTGCTCATATTCTTTTGTAACACAAGATAAACTTGCTTTGGGACAACTGTTTTTTACATATACGGCTTATAACAATCGTACAATCTCTTTATAATAGTCGTCATTAAGTGCCAAAAGTAACAGCTCACAAATATGGTGGGTGGCGCTTAACTTTTGTGCATGTGTATATGATGTTTCGATACCCTGTCACTTCTTGCTTTCGGAGGATCTGTCCGCTTCCCACTGTGCTGTTCAACAGCGTCCCATGAGATCCGTATTAACAGCTTTAAACGGTCCTTCCAACATTGGGCGTGTGAACAAGAGGTCGTGCATCCCCATGATGTTTTCTCCCCTGTCACCATGATGATCAGTGAGCTACAGACGTTGGTCAGGCAGTAGGAACGGAATGTATGTAATGGACAAATAGAAACCTGTCAGAAGCGCATGCAAATGCAAGTCAATGGTTCACCTAAACACGACACTCGGTCAGAAATACTTTGTAATTTGATTATTTAAAGTAAACAATAAGAATTTCATGCAGCTATTTTATTTTGCATAATCACTTAGTCTCCAATACATGGTGAGTTGTAAATAGTCATTATCATCATTACAGAAGCTTTTCAAAGTTGGTTTTGGTTTAGTGAGTCACGCCTACATATTGCCGCCATATCACAATGTGTGTTCCATGTGGAGAATCCAGCCAAGGTCTTCGTCGTGACTAGCGAACACTTTCATCATCTGCACAAGAAAAATGGCCATGACGTACATTTGTTTACAGAAACCCTATGCACCAGAGTTTGAATTAATGTGGTTCATAATTGAAAGATTGCCCAATAATACTTAGTTGTGTTTTGCAAAAGTCCCACTCCCAATACCATGTGTGTTATCAATGTCATATTCTGGTAAAGTCATAGCTCTACTGAATTATTCGAGGTCACCATGTTTGTCATACCTCTACTCATATATTCGAGATCACAGAATTGACCTTGGAGCTAATGGATCAGGTGGCCAGTCTCGTTGAATTGGTTGATTGCATGTGATCGTATCCCTATAGCGTGGATCGATGACCATTATGTCAACCACTGACTTGAATATTTACAGGCCAACGTCTTATAGATTGAGTACGACGTTCAACAAGAAACTATCAAACTTACAAAAGCAGTAAAATTAGGGTAAACTGGCTAGCCTTGAAACTGTTGAAATCGGTGATAAACCAAACTCGTTCATTCCATAATGCCTGATCATGAGGAAGAACGTGCAGGTACGCAATGTTCACAAGTTAGAAAGCTCCTGCCTCCCGTCGTACTGCATCCAGTCTTTATAGAGTGCTACTACAACAATGTGCCAGGGGTGTGCCAGACAGACCCTCACTTTCTGACGTCCCCGGGCAAATAAGTTAATGTGGCATTTATGAGCGTTCGGGTCTGTGCTGTTTTTCTTATAAGCTCGCTTCCATTGGTCAAGAGAATGTACTTTGTCAGAACAAAGTGATATTTCGGTTAGCATTGGTCCACAGCTGTGTTGATCATAAGGGGAGACATAATGGATCAGATAGTCAGGCACAGGGAATCGCTTGATTACATCCTACACCGTCAGGTACGATGATGCACAATCAGCCAAACCATCGACATCGCATTCCACTATCTGATCCATTTGGCCACGTCTCACGGCATGTTAATTTTCCACAACAGGTCTTCAAGGGAGTATTAATCACATAATGTGAATATTTAGCTATTTATTTCGTCACCAAAATATCAAATACCCTCTGACAATTCATTATTTGCAAACAATCATATTAAAAACACTAATATCTCAAATGCACCACACACATACTGAAAAATGAGTGTAACATAACAATTCAGAAATACAAAAATCGTATTGCTTAAAAAATCGCTGTTGCTCACTCGGGGGGAAATTTCAGAAGTGTCATGCGATACTTATTCCTCGGCTAATTATTTTAGGGTTCGTCTCGGTCCGAAGGAGGAATCTGTCCTACTATTGATTGAGGATAAAAAGCATCCATTCTAATAGTATGGATCTGTTTACAACTCTTAACGTAATTGCTTTCCCCACATAGCTTACTTCCTGATTATTCTATATTTTTTCTACAGAAACAGAGAGTGTGTGGATTAAAATTTACCGTCGCATTATTTCAGCCATATAGCGATCAGAAACAAATACATCTGCTGAATGAGGTGCTCCCAGATCAGTGACAACGCAGAATCGACGCAGACATGACATCCTTGACAAACCTGCTGTATACCATCGTGTGTTTCCACCTTTCCTTCTTGGAGGTAACAGGTACGCAATAGGCTATGTTTTTGCTCTCAATTTGAATATGTAATGTTACTCAGAAATTAGAGGTTTTATAAAGCTTCAACGTAACCTCTATGTTGATGAATGGTTTGTTGCTTAACGCCGCACTCCGCAATATTTCAGCTATATTACAGCGGTCTTAAATAATCGAGGCTGGACCAGAAAATCCAGTGAACAACATCATTCGCATCGACCTACCAATGTGCGAGTTTAGCCTCAATTTTGTCATTGATATATTTTCCCGTAAAGAACAAGCCTCTTTCTCAAGTGCGACCTACATTCATCAAAGATAGTTTGCTAATAGACGACAGATTCACTCTCTAGTCTCTGCCAACTGGATCGACAGAGGTCTTTTCAAAAACTACACTGTTATATTTGTTTTTGATTGTTCCATGGTACGAAATATATTCACTGAATAGTAATGGGTGATATGGTTTATTAATTTCATGATTAGGACCATCTTTGATAAATTTTCCAATCGTAGTTACCTGACAGGGTCTGCATGGGCTAGTGAGTTGGGTTTAACGCCGATTTTAACAGTACTCCAGTTAAACCTTGACAAATTTCCAGCGGTGTCATTTGGAAGTCGCATGATGACGATAAACAGTGAGTATGGTATTCCAAGTAGGTGCCAGACAATAGCAATTTATCCCTGGTTGAGCATAAGGTAGAATCCAAATGGAATAATCCACAAAAGTACCAATGACATTCTGCTACAGTTTGAGCCAATAGTTTACTGATAGAGGCAACGTGACTAAAAATCTTGACTACTTCCGATGCTGTGAAGGGTTACTATTCCTAATCATAACTTACAAACCAATACATATTTGAGATTTGAGATGTATGCTCAGTGTGATCACATTGCCAAACTGTGTCCATACAGCTTTAGACAGAAGGAAATAAATGTCACACCCCAAAACCTGTAAACCATCTATTTAGACCCCCACACATTAGACCCTCAATGACATGTCAGTCAAGACAAATTGAAACAAATGGTGTTGAACTGACGTAAAGTAACATATCTGTTAGTGGAATGTGATGCTATCAGTAAGGTGTGTGACTTCTTCGTCACTACGAGGGGGGGGGGGGGGGGGGGGGGGGGGGTTCTTGGGATGTTATTTATCCAAATAAAACATGTTTACAGTTGTAGCTCCACCTATTTTCAGATGGATTTAGGAAGCTTTATGATCAGTGATTGCAGGAAACGTGGTAATTAGTCCCTCCTCTTCATGAGACAGATGAAACCCGTACTTTTGTGAATGACTTTTACCACGGAAGAGAACATTTTGATGTCACGTGACTTCAACAAACATGTTCTCAATCTATACAGTGTATGGATGGGTTTTATGTTGGTATTATTTTCACACATTGACATATGTGGACATGTGAAATATATGAATGCATAACATGTTTGTATAGGAATTGTAATAAAAAGAGGTAGGATACAGCCCAGGATTTGTGGCTTCCTGTGACAGGGATTGTGACGTCACTATGGGGCTTGCTTTTAGCATGGAATATATTTATAAGCTGTGTGGAATCGAGGCTTAGTGTCCATCTGTAAGCGCTAACATTGGCTGATTGAGGTCGGGAGACCTTGACGGTCAGTCCATGACGTTGACTCCCGCATTCTGAAGGAAATTCCTTGTCAAAATTACTGTGTGGGGTCTGGCATTATCGTGTTGGAAGATCAAACCGGGTCCATGTGCTGCCATAAAAGGAAGAAGTTCTGGTGCCAGTACCTGGTCGTGGTAAGCAGCAGCGTTGAGGTTGCCACGGATGACAAGAAGCCTGGAACGTGCATTGCCACAGAAAGCACACCACACCATGACACTTCCGCCTCGAAATCTGTCAACTTCCTGTACACAACACTGGGCGTAACGTTCATGACAGCGCCTCCAAACCCTCGCCCTACCATCAGCAAATCGGGATTCATCACTGAAGACGACTTGATTCCAATTCCTCTGAGTCCATCGTACACTACTGCCTAAAAGTTCATTCACGCATGTGACACGTGTGCCACGCGTGTAACACGGGACCGGGTTCCTGTTGAATTTGACAAAATTATCAAATGAATAGTGAGATAAAACAAAACAGTGAGATGTGAAATTTGAGTTAATGAGCGGCCATTGAGCTGTGTTCACCAGACCGTAAATACAAGGTCGGCCCGTCTTAATTAGTGTTCGGTTGTTAGACTTTTATGGCAAGAATCATTCCACTAGGGTCCCGTCTAGCCATTGTGGCTAGCCGACAGTAGAACAGTAGTGAATTTAGATGCGAGTTTATTGCTAGGGGAACCCCCGTGTTGACACGATTGTCGCGGGTTGGTAAATGTTCGCCATTAAGAAAATGATTGTTTGTGGATTGCGAACATATTCATTTGCCCACACGAGTCATTCCATTTGATTGCAAATATAACGTTTTTCGTTCGCCAAATTTATGCTTTAGACAGTACAATTATGATATAGCCGTCACCACTACTAATGTCTCATTATTTCACGTAGACATATGTCCCATTTCCCAACACCCCACTTTCTGTTTTGTATTTTGAAAGAATAAATAAAAGAAGGTTTTGTGTGGGACACTTTTATACTAATTATAAGAGGATGTTGTAAATGAATATGAACAGCCATGCTGTCTGACTGTTGATAGAATTTGAGATCTTCACAATCACCGGGTGTGACCATGTAGACAGAATCTCGTTAGGGTTTGTGATTTTTACATTTGCCCAATGACCATAGTGAGTTTTGCTGGGGATACCAAACGTAACAGTTTATTATTAGAGGTTGTAAGTACCTATACCACGTAGATAGGATATCTTTAAGATTTTAATCCTTCTTTGAGAGGCATTTAGAAGTTGGAGTACTACGTTAGGATAAGATTTATGGGTGACTTTAATCCTTTCTTTCTCTGTGGGTAATCCTTTCACGTTGATTGGAGGAAGTCACTCAACCAGGTCATGACAGGTCGTGAGTTTACTCACTAACTACTGTGAGCGTTTTTGGCATAACATCTTTTCTTGTATAAACATAGAAACGATGCTCACTCACTCACTGTTAATCTTCTGCAGTTTGCTGGCAAAGTGGGGATAAACCTCAGTGTCAAAGACGATCAAACTTAGTTCGAATCCTTGTTTATATGTGACATCTCCCAAATGGGGACATTTTCATAAACTTGGCAAGTGATGATGAATTTTAATATTAATATTATTATAGTTTATGAAATTGTTAATCAAACTTTAATAAAATTGTGCTTCACTCTCACGAAAAATATATTGTCTGTGAGTAAATTAATATGTCACGTTTCATCGGCATTTTTCAGTGATATTGGGACTACATGAAACATGGCTGGTTTTACATTTCTGATACAGGTGCTTGACTGACTGATCATGAGTAGTTCATGATCAATTAGATATGTTTAAATCAGTCAAGTTTGCAACAATAGATGAATAAGTTGATACATTTGGACCGCAGTTACCGATTAACAACTTAAGACATAGAGACAGGGAGGAGATATATAACCAAACCTATGGTCCTGTTGAGACAGTTGACAGTTAGAACGTTGGATTAAATGACAGTAACTAATTTGAACATTCCCCAGTAATATCATAAAATACATCATAACTCATAACAGTCCGAGAAACAGCTTCCAGCCATATACTAGTATTGAAGGGACAATCGCTTTTGACAGTTTAAAAATAAACTCACCTTAAGGTGCTTGGCAAGTCAAAACTGACCTCCCTGAATATGTTTTTTAGGTTTGACAGCAACTATGCTTGTGGATTTCAGAGATAGACATGATTTGTTAGCTAGATGTTATTTCAATAAGCGAAAATGTCTTAAAAGTCCACAGTTTGTTTAATAGTACAAAAAGTGTGTACGTAAAGTACGTAACTTACATATATTTATGTATGACCAGAACAGCAAATAAAGTTCTGGTAGATAGGTACCTCGGAGATTAAACGTGCGCTTTCCAACTTAAGCCTATCTCGCACACGGGGAAGCACTTATACTATAAGGGTAAAAAAGCGTAAATATTACATAAAGAAGTTTTCTATATATATATTTGTGGATATGAAGCATTCTAGTTAATTGTGGATACACTTGGCAGACAGAATTGTGTTTATTTCCAGGCCATCCTGATCGTCGTTTACTACTATAAAGTGTATGTTTTGAGGCAAGATCAAAGGCGCCGCCAGCATTTATTAGATAACAGACGGGGTCGTCCGTTTCGCTTTAAACAACCACCCCACCCTGTCTGTAGGAGTTATATAATCGGTGCGCAAATAACTGTGTCAAGTCCACTACCGGGCTGATGCGGTGTCAGTGTCAGCGATGAACATGAATGCTCAAATTATAGACCTGTAGCACTCACAAGTTGCTTAGCCAAAATATTTGAAAAGTGTATATTCAATTCTCTGATAACAGCAAATATAACCTTAGAAATAGATTCAACATACAAACAATCAAATGTAGAACACAGACCTATGCTTAATAATAATTTCTTCTGGATATGATCAACCTGCGGAACCCTCTATCCGATGAAGTAACTAATGCTCGCTCATTAAAAGAAATCAAATCATTAATTAATCGTTCTGATGCAATTACTAATAATTTTGACTTCAAATATTTTCATAGATCATGCCAAATTGTCCACTGTCGCCTTAGGCTCGGCTGCAGTGACTTAAACGCTGATAAGTTTAGACGACATGTATCAGACATACCAGACTGCACTTGTGGATATCACCTTGAAGATGCAATTCACTTTTTCTATAACTGTCAAAAAATACGATAATATCAGAAACACTGTGTATTTCTACACACATGGGTATGGTCTAAAAATGATATTACGTGGCAGTAGTTAAGCAGTTCTACAAACATGACTCTTCTTAAATAAGTTCACGACATCATTGTCAAAAGCAAAAGGTTTGAGTAGCTTAATTTTATGCATGTAGTAAAGGAAAACTGCATATCCTTATTTCACAGACACCACTTGCTTCAGTGTATTGGCTTCGTGTATTTCATTTGTGCATTTTGTATGTTTATGTTCATCACTCTCTTATATATATATCCAGCTGTTGTTAAGTTGTTACCTGGAGAGGTACTGCATAAGCAAGCTTTGCTTGTTTACCGATCCAGATTTCTTTTGAAATAAAAATACGTTTAAGCCAACACAGCTAACCCTAAAACACATGATTGTAAACTATTCAAAAATGGGCACTAATCTCTGGCTTCTTCTCGGGTGTCGGACTCAATCTCAAACTCATTTATTCTTAGAATAACATGACATACAATTATCTACAATTTTTATTATGTACAATTTAACAAAAAATAATAAAAATAGGATACGTGGATATTAATACAATTTACCAATTGTAATGTACACATTGTTAAGGAATTTAGATAGGCCTTTTAGATTTCTTACACTGTTAGTGGTCATAATTTTCTTAAATGTTTGGAAACTTAAGATATTGCTTATTTAAGAGTTCATATCGCCGTTGGTGAAAAGCTTCACATTGGAATAAATAATGCAATTCATCTCCCACAGCGAAAGATTCACAGAGTGGACACTGGCTGTCTTCCCTGGGAATGTTCAGCCATCGACCAGTTTCAACTGGTAATCCTTGGTTAGAAAGTTCTCTTTAATTTTGAGAGCAGTAGATATTTCGCAAATGAAGGTTGATTCTTCAGGTAATACGACCTTTGGATTTCCGCTTGGGCTTTCTAGCTGCCGTGAGTCAATTTGCTCGTTAACGCAACCGAGCGTGACAAGAGACTGGGATACCATCTGCAAGGACAGCTAAATAAGCTTACGCATTTTTGAAAACTGATTGGTTACCCGTGATCTATGAAGATTTCAACAAAGGGTGCATGGTAATTAATGTCTTCAGCCTAAACAAACAGACAAATAACGGCGAAAGCTCATCGGATGTCGTTATTTGGAAATACCCCTGATGGTTACAGTTTAATAATAAAAAAGTATCCCTGAGTGAAAGCATTTGCGGATTTCGGATTGCGTGAATGATACAATTACTACTCCCTTGTTGTCATCCACATTTTCTGGTATAACCCTACACTTGTGTATTTGTCGTAATTCACTTGCTGCTCAGTTTATGAATTTATAACATGTATACTTAGTTGTAGCACCACTCAGATTATAAAGGTTCAAATTTGGTCTTTCTTGTACCTGGGGTAATTATTCAATCTAAATCCAGGTTTGAAGTGAGGTGGAATGTGAGTTATGTGATATGCACGTGGCAGCCCAGCAAGAGATGTATGGTCAGTTGCTTTACTTGTTTTGTAAATCAACTGATCATTCCCAGACATCAAAGGATCAACAGGAAATACGTTGATTGATTAATTACTGTTATCTTGCACAGTGGATGTCAAAAGTAAGTGTTTCATGTGAAGGTAGGTTTACTAAACCTAGGGAATACACTCATATCATGGCGTGAAGTACAGATGTAAAAACAACATACTTTGTTCAAAGGGTAACCGATAATACACTGACTGGTTGTTCATTGTTATCTAACTCAATGTATGTTTTTAAGAACCGTGGACATTATAAAAATAGTTGTCACGTGGGCTTTCTCAAGCTAACTTGGCACCTATGTGAAACAATTGAAACAAACTAAGTGATCAGTTAAGAAACAAACACGGGTAATAATATTCGATACATTTAAATAACGTTTAAAAACGATATATTTCAATATTTTAATATATTTCATGTATATTCCAAATATTGTTTCCAAATAATTATTATTAAAGAATTTGATTCTCACATAGACATTTGACATCGAATAAGTATTTTTGTACAGCTGCAGACGCAATGGATATTGTTCCTTTATGTTGATACATTATAACTTTGGTAGGTTGTGATAATGATATTTGCATTTTGTTTTCATTCAGTCGCTGCAGCTTTGAACAGAATCATTCTTGTTTGGTTGGAAAGTTTTTCGATGCGCGATAGACGTTGTTTTCACAAGTATTTTCTTTTGTAAGCGTGTATATGTTACAGTCAATGTGTAAAATATGATTCACTCAGGCAATTTATTAAATATCTAAATATTTCAGTCATTTTACAAATTGACTGAATAATCCATTCATTTATTTAACCGACTGACTAAAAATGATAAAGACGACCAAAGAGCTTAAACACATCACAATATATTAATTATGCTAAGAAAAAAAGCCAAACAATACAGAACTGTACTTGGTGATGATATTAAACATAAACAAATATTTGGAATTCGTTATCATATTTATAAAGATGGACATATTTTTCAGTTAATTTGTAAAATAAACTGAATATTTAGGCGTTTAATAAATTTCCTCTGTGAAATCTGTTTACATTTTGAATGTAAACATATACACACGGTAAAATAAGCAATGTTTCAGATGAAATATTTACTTTGTGTTGCAAGTCAAAATAGTGTACACAAAGATCGCACAATTACCAAGCAAGTGACTTACCAAAACTGCATCACCATTACCGATGCTCCCCACAAATATACCTACATTTCCAAAACTGTATTTCATTTTTGTTGATCAATGTGACCATACGTCCTTCTACTTTCAATAAAAATGCGCTTACGAATGGCGAGCACAGGTCGCGAAAAAGTCTAGATTTCTGCTATATCATCCGGGTACTCACTGGGAAAATTCAGTAATGCACAGGTAACAACTACTCCCGCGGAATTGCTTTAGATCAGTGCTCCTTTGTACGTTGAATTACTATATATTGTAAAATGCCAAAATGATGTATCAAGGATCAAGTAGAAGATACATTGACCGTAGCGCTGGGAGTTTATTCAACAGACCCGTGAAAATAACACTGCTGTATCTTATTATTTATTTTAGATGACGCAGTCAAAGCTCACTTCTCCTGGCGGCCATTATCGAACGGCCAGCTAAAACACAACCCCGCGCTTACGTCCACAGGTCTCTTCCTGTAGTACGGTAATTAGTATTCTCCCTCAAGTGTATCCTCAATGATATAACCCACCCTCATTAATTACATGCTGCTCTTTTCCAGCCTCACGGCTATGGAGCTGAGGTAAAGAGTCCAAGTCATCATAAAGTAATTAGGGTCCAATAAAAACAATGCGCCGCGAAACCTCATACATATTATCCCTGAAAGTCGTACTACAGACGGTTAATGTCAAATCACAATAAAAGCATTTCAATTGCAATAACATGTTCCAGGACCATGTATTCTCTTAACACCATCGGATTTAGAAGCAATGGTCGTATAAAACAAGACAGATCTATTTAAACACAACAGTATTCATGTTATTCCCACAAAATCACATAAAGAAAGGAGACATTAGCAAATACATGTGTATTATCATTTTTCGTCAGGATAACAAAAATTTTCTCTCCTTGTTACCACCTCCAGGTTCAGCTTAAGACGGGTCCTCCTTTGGTCAAAAGTTTGTTCCCCCTCTAATGAGTGTGTCACGCGTTGCACACGAGTGGCGGACGGGGTGCACACCCGTGTGCAACGCGTTGCACACGGGTATCACACGCGTGACCAACCCGATGCACACTGGTTGCGTAACGCGTTGCCCATGCGTGTAAGGGGAATGAACTTCTAGGCAGTAGTGTAAGTGTTGCTGTGCCCACAATTGACGTTGACGTCTGTGTAATTGAGTCAGAATCGGCCCGCAGTATGGCCGTCGTGCTTGAAGGTGAGCAGTTCTCAGACGGTTTCGAACAGTTTGCGAACTCAGTCTACACCTAAACAGTTCATTTCTGGTTGATGTAGCCGTCACAAATCGGTAACGGAGTCGACGTAAGACAATCTGACGATCCTCGGCATGTGACGTCACACGTGGTCAACCTGGCCGAGGGCGATCAGCGGTGGTACCCGTTTGCTGTAGACGCGTCTGTAAATCATATACAGTCCGTCGACTACGACCTTTCGTCCTTGCGACTTCAGCTACGGACGTTCCCGTCTGCAACTTGGCCATGGCACGTTCACGTTGCACATTTGAAAGGCGTGGCATGACAAATGGCCGTAAAGACTTTTGTTTTCTTGTGTTTTTCTTTTTTGTTAATGACTGCTAACAAGTATGGCTGAAAACACGTGCGGTATTATGGCCACGTGACCAGTTGCAAGTGAAAAAACACTTTTTCCACTATAGTGCTGGGCACATGTTTTTGATTGATTCATCTGCACAAAAACGGGTGTTATCTGAAGACAATACGTGGCCATTACTGTTTAAATACACAATAAGGGCCCACAATGATAACTGGTCAAAATGTTAAAATTTTAGGATTGTGAAGTTTTTAATTTGGTTCAGTATATTTGTAAAACAATACGGTTAGTCTCATGCGTACGCACTATCGGAAGCCTTATTGTAAGTTTTCATTGGCATGTACGTATTTCGAAATATATTCTATGTTTTACAGTGCCCGTTCAGACAAATATAGCTCAAGGCAAACCAACCATTCAGTCCAGCACGTACTACAATGCTGTCTCGTCCTATGCTGTTGATGGTGTAACAGGAGGAAACTACCATACTGACCGTTGTGCAAAAACATATGGTGGCGACGTCTGGTGGAAGGTGGACCTTCTTCATGTGTACAATATTTCGAGGATCACTGTTTTCAAGAGAACAGACTTCCAGGGTAAGTTGTTAAGATTAGCAAACATTACAGTTTAGATTCCATTGAATTTGTACAACTTATCTTCAGAAAGGTTGAATGGGGGCAAAAATAAATAATATTTTGTGCATATAAAAGTAAATATAAGCAATAAAATATTTCCATAATCTTAAGAAATCTCTTCTGAAAAGAAGTCCATTTACGATTCCGACTGTTAGAAATGGACAAAATACTCTTGGTATTGAACATTTTTTAGTAGAGTGTTGCCAATATTGAGGATGATGCCGTCTTATGTTAACACTGTCATGTTATTGAGGATGAACTTCAATTAATATATAATTGTCCTCCTCATGCAAGTCGGCGGGAAATGTACATCCTAAAGACAGTTGATCATCATTATTTTTGCTTCGAAAGACTCTGGGTCAATTGGCCTTTATACAAATATATATCTGTCTGTCTGTATGACATGTGTTTATGGACCCGTGAAAATTCCGGGGTAGAATAGGTCTTCATCAACCCATACTTGCGGTAAAAGGCGACTATGCTTGTCGTAAAAGGCGACTAGCGGGATCGGGTGGTCAGGCTCGCTGACTTGGTGGATGCATGTCATCGTATCCCAAATGCGTGGATCGATGCTCATGAAGGCAATCACTGGATTGTCCGGTCCAGACTCGTTTACTTTACAGACCACCGTCATATAGCTGGACTATTGCTGACTGCGGCGTTAAACAACAAACAAACAAACAAGCATATGTTTATGAATTGCTATCAAATAATGCTGATACAATGATACTAGTTCACCACTCACAAACACACGCAACGGTAAGGCCATTTTCACCTATAAAAGCATGGGAACATATGGTACCAGTCAAAATAGGGAATTGCATCGGACATACATGTACTTTTGGTCACTGGCCAGTATTCAGATAACGACCAAACATCGGTAGGAATTCAGGTGAAACTATGCTCCAGATACATACTATGGTTGTATGAATCATATGGTGTTTTAGGTCGCCCAGATCTTTTTAAAATCGTCGGCTTTGATCTGCATCCTACACTCTGTCCTCTATCATCCCCGAAAGTCTGCGTCAACCAACTCGGCAGTTTCACAGGTCCATCAAAGACTGTGTCTTGTGAACAGGAGGTCATGGCCAGATATGTACAAGTTTCCTCCTCTACTAACATAATGATGTGTGAGATGCAGGTGTTTGGGCAGAAAATAGGTGAGGCATTTATTAATGTCATTCTGGGATATTTAAACTTCCCTTTAGACAGGACGAAATGTTTCTTTCACAAAATCGAAAGGTATTTTATTTCACTGTCAGGATCGAGACAATGAAAAATTTTAATATCAGAATAAATGTCATCTTAAAAAAGGTTTGGCCACATTGATATTTAGGTAACTATTAAGGATACTATTACCTGGGGCGTAGCTGTCTATACTACTTGTATCGCATCAATATTTCCATGACTGAGCGCCGAAGACCCGGGTTCGATTACCGACATGGGTACAATGTGTGAAGCCCATTTCTGGTGTCCCCCGCCGTGATATTGCTGGAATATTGCTAAAAGCGGCGTAAAACCATACTCACTCACTCACTCACTCCATGACTGAGCCGGAAGTTTGCTAAATGGCACAATGAGTCATTAGATATACAAGTTTGTATACGAATTGATAATTACAGGTGGATGCTTGAGGAATAAGGTACAAGTGAAAGAAGGCCACAAACTGAATGACTCCTCTATCACCGTGCTACGTGGTAATTCCTCAAGTCTCGTGGAGTGCAGCATCCACTGTTACAGACTCCACAACTGTCTGTTCTTCAACTTCAACAGACTGACTGGAGAATGTCAGACAGGAAGTGGACAGGAAACTTCCGCTTCTTCCTCGGCAGCTGACTGGGACTTCGGCACAATTTGTTAAAGGGCTGTTTGTCCTGTCTCTGCTGAATACGTTTCATATATGCCAACTGTGTATATATCTAATATGTTTTCATCTAGGCAGGATAGGTCCGTGACTTCGGAATTTTGTCAGATTTGGGACTTACTTAATCCAGCATCACACGCCTAAATGTGAAATCTCAAACATATCGATGTTATTTCTATGATTGTGTTAATATGCTCAATGACGTTATGCAAGCCATATGTTTATGAACAGATGTTCAGTAAGTCATGGAGAAACATGGTATTCAATATACAGATCTATAGAATTTCTCTATATGGACGAAATATATGCGTGTGTTCTTATGTGTACCTTGTAAACATATCTAAACACTTTCTCTGATTTGAAAGATGAATGTAGACTTTGTGACTTTGCTCAGTCAGGCCTTAGGATGTTTCAGAAAAATAAGCTGGAACTTTCACATCTACACATATTTGTATTACCGTGTTGATGTAATGGCAAAATACAAACTCTAAGTTGATCAAGGTCGAAAATTCAAGTACTGATCGATATCACTGCGATAGGTTGTCGCTCTTCGTTTCACAGCCTATTCCTAAACCTGTGTCCAAAATTGTTTACGTGATCAAATCTCCAAACTGGACCCGTTTGCCACCACAGCTTCGTTTTGGAAATGATAACGCCAGCTTCAATTCTAGGTCTCGTATCACGAAGCACATTTTTCGGTTCCAGTTGTACTTGCAAAAGTCAAGTCGATTTGTATGTTTATCTCTCTGAATATTTGACCGTCACTGAAGATAATTTATATACCAGAAGCTTGTTCACGTGAACATTATCTGATCATCGATACACCTTTATATGTAAATCTATATTTAATGAGGTTTAAAAAATAAGTGTTTCAAAGTACAATGTATGGCTACGCGTTAACTTTCTTTTCTTGATAAAACGATTAATGTAAACGTTTACCTCAAAACTTTTGTGAAAAAAACCCCGGAAATACTTGATAATCCAGGTGTTAAACTCCTCACTCGTTTATACATAGAGCACCATACCTTGCTGGTCGGTTTCACCTAAGAGTTTTAAATGGCAAAGAGCTGCTCCTCCCACATCAACCTCGCCGTGACAAGTGGGTTTGTTTAAACCTCCACCTCACACATTTACTTACTCTTATAAACCTGCTACCATTGGTCACGTTGGTGTAATGTATCATGTTTATAGCTTTGTGTCCTGCAGCCATGAATAACACATTTATCTAAACCGATTCAAACAGCTTGTGTATATTTGTCTTTTTCAAATTATTGTTTAAAACAACTATATCTCACTGACTATTGCAAAGGCTTTTGAAGGATTGACACTAGAGGGTTGTTTTACCTGTCTCTGGTAGATACCTTTCATAGATGTCAACTGTGTCATCATTTCATATGTATGTTCTGGGCAGGATAAGCCTGTGATAAAAAAAATTCACAGATTTGGGACATATCTGGCTCGACATCACACGTCTGAATGTGACCTCAAGCATATACATCAGAGTTGTCTATATAATTATGATAGTTATTATGTTCAATGACGTTATGTAGGCAATCGGTTTAAGAACAATATGTTCATTAAATTATGGACAAACATACAGACATAGAGAAATTATTGATCACTCGATTGTACGCTTTGTTTACAGACTCGTCGTATCAAGGAATCCTATAGTAGTGCTGCGTCAGGCAACACACATACACTTACTTCATTGGTCACGTTGGTGTAATGTATCATGTTTATAGCTTTGTGTCCTGCAGCCATGAATAACACATGTATCTAAACCGATTCAAACAGCTTGTGTATATTTGTCTTTTTCAAATTATTGTTTAAAACAACATCATCTCACTGACTATTGCAAAGGCTTTTGAAGGATTGACACTCTATGCTTGTAGAAATTGGTCGGTTTTGTAATAAACATTGTTTTTAAAACAACAATACACAGCCTGTTAATAATGTTTGTCATGGCGACTGTATCTCATCGAGGTCATGGATGTATGGGATTGGTGTTGATAAAAATAGATATATCATTAACAGAAGAACGAGTCAATATGCGAACATCTGTAGTAAATATAGCTTCAAGTAGCAATCTTGGACTTCAAGTGCTACTTCCATTTCTCACACACCTGTGGATGAGAAGCCCATTTCAGATAACTGGTATCAAACATGTGTGAGATCGAATTCCAGGCCCGTGATTGGCTAATCCATGGTGATGACCTGAGGTCAGATGATGACGGACTACTTTCCTGAGTGTAAGTCATTCATAAGTTGCTCGTGCTTCAGTCGAATGTTCACCTACGTCTGTATTGAACCACGTGACCGTGTAATTAATAATAATAATAATAAGCAAACTCGTTCTCGCCTGCGAGTTTGTTTGTTATTATCATTAGTTATATTATCTGTTGTGTCAACGTTATCGTTTTTTAGAGATGACACAGCGACACATATGTCCTTCTCTTCAGTACTCACTTCGAAGTCGAATGAAATTTAAAATACATCACGCAAACTAATACATATCACAGTTTTGAATTCCCCCTTCTGTTTATTATTTACTGTCATATTGCAAATTTACTGAAAGTGACTTCTGAAAATTAGGTACATCGTAAATCTCGCCAAATCTCAATTCACGGCGTTATTTACTGTGTGTTTAGAAATCTAAATATCGGATATTTACTCCCAAAAAATAAAGTAGAAAAATAACATATTAGTGATGATGGGTATCAAATCATAAATGATAATTCTGAAACGTCGCTGATAGCCTAGAACTGTTGAGAATGTTTTGGAAAATATGCATACACGAACGCCGAAGTGTACGTTCCGCCATATTGGATTCTTTTTACAAAATGCTGGTTATGAGACGCCTATTCGATCAGGTATATTTCAAACTCAACTGCTATACATGCATCCCTGAATTCCTCATACATTTTAGAAACATATGACAAATGGGCTTTGTCACCAATGCAAGTTATCTAGATGAAATCATGCGAAATAAATTAGGTGTGGAAACGAACACTGTGCATTGTAACTGTACTTGCTGAAATGTAAACACAGATTTTACACTGTGTAGCATTTAGAGGTACTTTCGTCTAATTGTTGTATACATTGGCTCGATCACGCGTTTGAGAATATTCATGGGAAAAGTAGCCTTGCACTTATTATCGAATTTCAAATATATGCATTACAATGATGTTCTAAATTCAACGGAAACCGTAAAGGTTTCCTTCCTGTGTGACGCCATGACTGACGCTAAATCACGCAAAACGACGACGGTAGTTTTCTGCATTTCTGACTAATTCTCTTTGTTGCATTGGAAAACATGACAAACCAATAACAGTATGCAGAGTTTCAGAATGTTTCTGATTACTTACGTGACACAATCTCTCAATCAACGAAAACCCTCCAAATGGTATACAATGAACAAATGTATTGCAATATATTCAGTAGGTTTACCAATCAATATAAAATTTTCCACAGCAATTACAATGGCTTTCCCCACACACACACACACACACACACACACACAATGGATGGTTGGAATAGTGCAAAATGCTGAACAAAATAATGTCACTTACATCTTGAAATGAGAGGAAGAACTGTTATTGTTTCTTGTGGTATGACGCCACACTCAGAAATATTCCAGCCATAATATGACGGCTGATTGAGTCTGGAACGGACAATCCAGTGATGGACGTCATGAACATCGATCTACGCAATTACGATACGATGACATGCATTAACCAAGTCAGCGAGCATGACCATCCGATCCCGTTAGTCGTATCCCACGACAAACATAGCCGCATTTTACGGCAAGCATGGTTTGCTGACGATCTATTGTAACCGGGATCTTCACGGGTAGAAAAGAAGAACTACATCGGGCACTAACCGTAGCTCCTGTAACCCATGTTAGACGGTAATAGGCCCCGGCGGCATTAGATGTTGACCATAATATTAGACCGTCATGACCGTCATGTAGCAGGAATATTGTCGAATGTGGCATTAACACAAGGAAAAGACACAAGCGTTTGCTCGCTTGAATCAGAGTGACCTTGGAAATCCAGCAAATGACACATGTACATCGATCTTAGCTGTGACATAGTGTTTGCGACATATGCAGGATGGTCATATAATGTTCCAGGTCGTGAAGAGTAAGTTAAGATCGAGGGCTTTGTTCAGCATCCTACGCTTTGTCCAGCATCCTACTCTTTGTCCTGCATCCTCCCCTAAAGTCTCACAGGTCCATCCAAGACTATGGCGTGTGAACAAGAGGTCATGGCCAGATATGTGAGAGTTTCCTCCACTACCTACATGACCCTGTGTGAGATACAAGTGTTTGGACAGAACGTAGGTGAGGCATTCATTTATTAATGAGGCTCTTGGATGTTCCAACTTCCCTTAAAGTTATGAAGACCGAAGCCAAGGATTTCTTTCTATTAGAAAGTTACAGTATTGTGTGTTCTTACAATGACACATGATCGAGACAACAGAGAGTCATTAGAAGCTCGTAAACGTGAGAATTCTGTGCTTCGTTAAAAGAGACCTTGAAATGGCATCATTTCCGAAATGACGCCATGGTGGCAAACAGGTCCAGAATGGAGATTAGACACAATGTATTTTTTAGGATGACGTTATAGTAATAAAGTAATTAAGTTCATAGGAAGTAGTTTTTCCACTGATTTGAAATGTTGGCAGGTTAACAATCAGAAGGAGGTTTCATCTCCTGGATGGATAGCGTCTCTTCTATAAGTCATTAAGACCTTCCGATTTCGGTGACTTCAATATCACCGCTACACTGCTTCCTAAGATATCTGTGTAACTTGTCATGCTCTAGGTACATGTATGACAACTGATTATGGAGAACGTCATCAAGGAATACTTGATACGTAGAATTTAGGATGAAGTTAAAGTTATTATATATAGTGATGATACCAAGCAGTTTTTCATTTGGCACACCACTAATGTGAAATGTTGGCAGGTTAACAGTATCCTGATTGCGTCTATTCTATAAGTCATAAAGACCAAAACGATAACAGTGACTTCAATGTCACCGCTACACTGCTTCTCGAGATATTCGTGTAACTTGTCATGGTCTTGGCACGACAACTGATTTTGGAGTAAGGAGCAAGGAGTACTTGCTACAATTGAACATATTCCCAATATAATTAACTGTATGTAACTCATCAATACCATCAGGTAATTATTATAAGGATTTTGAAACTGTATTGATGTCTACCATTGACAGTGTTTACAGTGTTCCAATCATCCGCCGTGGTAAAGCTGGAATATTGATGATAGCAGGGCAAACCAAGCTGAACAAATTAGGCAATATCAAGCAACTATATAATGGCGACCAGTAAATAATTAAGTCTGCATCAGGTAAACCTGACTGAAGAGGTCAAACACAAATGCCCTAATAATATGACCTTTACAATACTGAAAACAAACTTATTTCACCTTGGCTGACGTAACTTGTTTTCAATGAAGCCCATCGCAACGGTAGTGAGCAGTAAGTTAATACATGATACCGACCAGCTCGAAGAATAGATTTTTATTATGCCTTTAAGCAAACACACAACACGACAGGTAAGTCATCTGAACATAACAAGTACACAATAAAACAAAAGGTCAAGAAAATAACCAGCCTCCATTTTCCACGGAAAAAGATTCCACTGAGCGTAAAAAGTAAGTATGTATAAAGTTGACACCAGGTTTTCAGGGACTTTGTACGTATGTCCTGCCCTGCCGAAAGCACCCGCCCCTCACTCACACAATATGCACAAAAAAAGTAAATATATGATTGTTGCCTGGCGCCGCACAGCAGTATTCGTTGATGCGACGATGGCACGTAAACAAACCAGGCAATCGAGTGACAAAATAATTTTTGTATGTCTGTATGTTTCTCCATAAGTAATTGAACATAAAACCTATGGCCTACATAAATTCGATGAACATAATAACAATCACAATTATATAGATACCTATGATGTGTGTGTTTGGGATTTCACATTCAGACGTGTGATGTCGAGTTAGATATGTTCCAAATCTATGAAAGTTCCAAAGTCACAAGCCTCTCCTGCCCAAAACATACATATTAGATATATACACAGTTGGCATATATGAAACGTATTCAGCAGAGACAGGACAAACACCCCTTTAACAAATTGTGCCGAAGTCCCAGTCTGCTGCCGAGGAAGAAGCGGAAGTTTCCTGACCACTTCCTGTCTGACATTCTCCAGTCAGTCTGTTGAAGTTGAAGAACAGACAGTTGTGGAGTCTGTAACAGTGGATGCTGCACTCCACGATACTTGAGACATTACCACGTAACATGGTGATAGAGGAGTCATCCAGTTTGTGGCCTTCTTGAACTTGTACCTTATTCCTCAAGCATCCTCCTGTAATTATGAATTCGTATACAAACATGTGTATCTAATGACACAGCTTGTGATTTAGTGTTATTTAACGTCAGTCACCAACATTCCAGCTCAGTCTTGAATATAAGTAAACCAGGTCCTTGCACATAAGTCACTGAAGTATACTGATTGGGTACGATGACATCGTCCAATCCGTTCCATATCTTAGCATTAGGGAATTGGGACTTATGCTCCTTTTCTGTTCAAGTGATACATGTAGTGTGTTAACAGCTACCCACAGTTAAAAGTCATGTATTATTGTAAGAATATTGTTACATTGTAACTTTCTAATAGAAACAAATCCTTGGGTTCGGTCTTCATAACGTTTAGAGAAGTTGGAACCCCCAAGAGCCCCATTAATAAATAAATTCCTCACCTATGTTCTGTCCAAACATTTGTATCTCACACAGGGTCATGCAGGTAGTGGAGGAAACTCTCACATATCTGGCCATGACCTCTTGTTCACACGCCACAGTCTTGGATGGACCTGTGAAACTGCCGAGCTGGTTGACGCAGACTTTAGGGGAGGATGCAGGACAAAGTCTAGGTTGTTGAACAAAGCCCTCGATCTTAACTTGCTCTGCACGACCTGGAACATGATATGACCATCCTGCATAAGCCGCAATCACTCTCTCACAGCTAAGGTCGATGGGCATATGATATTTGCTGGTAATACCAAGGTCACTCTAATTCAAGCGAGGATCGGTGCCGCCGGGGCCTGGCCATTGAGCTACTTCACAATAACGACTAGCATGAGGTACAGTTGAATAGGAGGCATATGAGGCGACAAGGCGAAGGAGGGGATCGGGTGGTCAAGTTCGCTGACTTGGTTGATGCATGTCATCGTATCCCAGTTGTGTAGATTAATGCTCATGATATCAATCACTTGATTGTCTTGTCGAGATTCAGTTATTTACAGACCGATGTCATGTGGCTGGAGTATTGCTGAGTGCGGCGTTAAACAACAAACAACAACAACAGTTCTCATTTCAAGAAGAAAGTGTCATTGTATTAGCGCAATGTCTTGTAGTATTCCAACATAAAAGGCGACTATGCTTGTCATAAAAGGCGACTAACGTGATCGGGTGGTCAGGCTCGCTGACTTGGCTGAAGCATGTCATCGTTTCCCAATTACGCGGGACCCGTGAAGATTCGGGGTAAAATAGGTCTTCAGCAACCCATGCTTGCCGTAAAAGGCAACTATGCTTGTCGTAAAAGGCGACTAACGGGATCGGGTGGTCAGGCTCGCTCACTTGGTTGATGCATGTCATCGATACCAATTGCGTGGATCGATGATCATGATATCAATCACTGGATTGTATGGTCCAGACTCGATTATTTACACACCGCCGTGATATAGCTGGAATATTGCTGAGTGCGGCGTTATACAACAAATAAAACAACCAATCCAACCTTATGTAGGAGATGAGGAAACTAGGAATGACATTCCCACATTCATTTAAATTAACCAAGTTCGTCTCGGTGAGAAGCGAGGGGTTTGAATGGTTGTATCACCGATCCTACATTCAAGTGAAATGTAGGTACCAAATGAAATCTCACCCGGAAAGTCTGTTCTCCTGAATACAATGACGGTTGATATATTGTAGACATGAAGCAGATCCACCAACCACCAAGTGTTGCCATCTCGTGTAAGCATGCAGTGGTCAGAAAAGAAGTTCCCCCCTGTTCTTCCGTCCACAGCATAGGAAGAGTTGCCGCCTGGGTACGTGCTAGACTGAATGGTAGGTTTACCCAAAGCTACATTTGTCACAATACTTGCTGAAATAAAATAGAAAGTTCGATCAATCCTTATATCGTTATGAAAAAAATGTTTTGGAGAAAGATGAAGTTGTAAGTAATTTCAAACGCTGGTAGGTATTTTCTTCTATTTCACATGTATATCCTTGTGCAATAAAGGTTTGAAGGTTGTATTTCTGTCGTCGTCATTGTAGTCCTCGTCGTCGCAGTTGTTTGTTTGTTTAAGTAGTTTAGTGCCAGAATGGAAAACTAAACTGTTTATTTGCACCCCGTTGTCATCGTGTAAATCAACAGAGCTAAGTCAGACCCGTGAAGATCCGGGGTAGAATAGGTCTTCAGCAACCCATGCTTGCCGTAAATGGCGACTATGCTTGTCGTAAAAGGCGACTAACGGGATCGGGTGGTCAGGCTCGCTGACTTGGTTGATGCATGTCATCGTATCCCAATTGCGTGGATCGATGATCATGATATTAATCACTTGATTGTCTGGTCCAGACGCGATTATTTACAGACCGCCGTCATATAGCTGGAATATTGCTGAGTGCGGCGTAAAACAACAAACCAACCAACCAACCCTTCGTTGACCCATGCGTATCACCTTTGTGTTACTATGATCAATCATGCCCTCTACTACTGACACACCATGAGTTGAACGGAGAATTATAAAGTGTTAAACTTCAAGTCACTTGCTATTTCGAACTGACAAGACCACACAAGTAAGACAGAACATATTTCATGTTGCTTATAAACACGCAATATTCAAGTTTGAAACCAATTACCTGATTCATATGCAGTAATTGTTTCAAAATTTCATTTCAGAATTAGTTTTGGAGTATATATCACGATGAGTCTACTTCATGTTGGAAAAACCCTACCTTTTTGTAGGTCTCGGTCATTAAATAATTTTGAAATAACTGAAATAAGCAGTCAATGCTGATTTGACCATGAATAAGAGCCGGGGGAATCTGGGATATGGAAACATGAAACATGACAGTTAACTTACCTGTTTGATATGCTCCAGGAAGGAAACATACGATGCTATACAGCATACATGTCACAGACGCCATACCACAGCCACGCTGATACTGATCTAGCATCTGAGTGAACATGATTTAATTGACAATGAAGACCAAGACCGAAATAACTGATGATGCCATATATTTTGTAATATGGATGTCAACATACAACCGAGGAACAGGATGAATGATCAAATTGATATTCACCATCCTAATGGCGGTAGGGACTGTATCAGGGACGAAAGGCAAAACTCGTATTAGATGATAATCAATAATATACATTGTACTTTCATTAAAATCTGGATAATGTGATTATAGTTAGTTTCAAATACAGGGAGGAAACTTCACGACTCACTAAGATCACCTTTGTCACATGACTATTAAAAGGAAGTTACAATGACACAAGTAGAGGTTGCTTCAGTGCATCAATTGTTCCCCGCTACTTATTGTCATACGCAGAGGAAGCAAGGTTAATTACTTATTGGTTGTTATTAATGCATTTATCTTTAGAAAGCACAATAAAAGAAACAGCGTATTTAAGGTCAGCACAAGGAAAACCAAGGCAAGAAAACACTGGAAATAACTGGAGCTGTCACGCAGAACTTGGTATATACCCACTATTAGTACCAATAATATAAAAACAAATATGTTGAAAATTTAGGCTAGATTAAACAAAACAGACTTTTGAAATAGTAAACACAAATAAATGTAATGAAGAAGAAAAAGAAGAAGCTTATTCAGTATCAAAGGCCGTATAGCCAAGATAAACTTTTGCACACGGACAGGTGGGACAACTGTTATACTATTCAATACAATATGTATGATACATTAAACAGGCAGATTTCTTTTCAAATATATAGCAATATTGTTAATTAGCTTAAATTTTTGTTGTTGCTATTAGTAGATTAAATTTTGCTCGTGATGGATACTGGTAATAGTAGCTTGGGATGTAGAGCCATCTGTTTTCCATATGATTACATTTCTTGCACTTAAGTTAATCAGTATTGACTTTGTCATTGGAACGAAAGTGTTGAATACCCAACTTATGCCTCAAACATCGGAATTTAAATATACTACTCAAAATAAGTTAAGGATCACCCGATTCTTTCATAATGGTAAAGTTATCTGTCATGACATGAGAGATGAACTAAAGTAATATAAAAGAATCAGGTGATCCTTAACTTCTTTTGAGTAGTATAATATGTGGATGAGATCTTTGTTTGGACATAACTCCATAATATATTTCTCTGGTCCGAGTACAGACATATGAAGAATAATGGTTTAGAAATGACGGAGAAATATATTCTGAATCTCTGTGTCTTAACATCTTTGCTTGAAACACTGTATAAAATTTGATATGCTGCCAATAAATGTAATGAATCCACTACTGTAAATAAACCGGTCGAAATGTAAAAATATGTTCACACATTCATTAAGGGATTCGGGGACACGGGTGGCCCACTCATCTAAGGCGCCGCGATTCGCTGTGCAGAGTTGCGTCCCTTGAACACGCCAGAAACCTATGATTGTGGGTTCGGATCCGGGTTCGCCCCGATTATATTGTCAGCACTTTACCCGTGCTCGTGGGTTTTACCAAAGTAGTGAACGTCTCAGACCTGCATTACCTCGGGGTTTTCTCCCACTTCAAGCTGACACACCGTGATGTAAGTGGTATACAATTCAAAGCGGCGTTAAACCCAACTCACTCACTCACTCATTACTGTTGTGTACGGTCCTGTTTGGTTAACTGGGTTTGTGTCGTGGTTACGTCCGGTTTAGATTTGAAGTATGTTTAGAAGAATGTTACTATGTTCAACCCTAACATCGTGAAATATATCAAGGTCAATGCGGATAAATCTCTATACTACACCTGTAGCTAAAGGAGATAAGTGCTCAATGCGCAATAGTTTATTCTTTAAAAAATTAAACCGGTTAACTTTAGGGAAAGGAGATATATTTCCCCTACACATTTTTAGCTCTTTTGAAAACAAAATGAACAAATTGCAAGGATTATCTTCATTACGAAACGCGAAAGTCACAGAATGTGACAGACGATTGGTTTAAAACATGACCAGATTAAGTCACTCTTCGTTTATTTTAAAAACTCCAAATCTTTTAGAGAAACCAAAATGGCGCTCTCCTTCAGTCAAAAACAAACAAACTCTTATACTGGGTATATACACACCACTACCATGTGACCCGTGAAGATTCCAGGGGAAAATAGGTCTTCAACAACCCATGCTTGCCGTAAAAGGTGACGATGCTTGTCGTAAAAGGCGAATAACGGGATCGGGTTGTCAGACTCGATGACTTGATTAATGCATGTCATCGATCCCAAAATGCGTGGGTCGATGCTCATGATATTAATCACTGGATTTTCCTGGTCCAGGCTCGATTATTTACAGACCGCCGTCATATAGCTGGAATATTGCTGAGTGCGGCGTTAAACAACAAACAAATCACTACCATGTGTATGTGTTTTTGTTTGTGTGCGTGTATGTGTTTGTGAGTGTTTGCCTTTGTGTGTGTTGGGGGTGGGGAATGCTGGATTGAGGACGTTTTTGAACATAGAAATTTAATCAGATGTTTACCACGACACCTTTAACTCGTCTTGTAGATGTTGGCTAATTGTAGATATTGACCACTTACAGTAATATCTCAGCCTGTGACAATCTCGCCGACAAGCAAAGCAACGTCTTTAACACTGCATGATTGATGACGAAAGTTAATATGACGATATCCATGAACTAGTGTTTGAAAGCTTGGAACTAATGTGCAAGCGATTATCGCCTTGGCAACCTTTGGATTCGAACCCACATTCAGAGGCTCCTGGCGCTCTAAATGTCGAGTATCGACACCTTTTACCATTGGTGCATCCGTGAAGATACCAGCTATGCTTAGTTTGTGTGTGAGTGTGATTATTTGCTTATTCTACCAAATGGGTAACATTGCAACTCGGATTCCAAGAGGCCGTGGAACTAGGAAGGAAAACAAATACATGTATATGTAACAAGAGTGCTCTGAGAGCACAACATCCTCTGCATGAATTTTTTTAACGAGTTTATATTTTCTTTGTATTTTATGAAATAACAGTAGATGGCACTGCATTTGAAACAAATTGTGCAGAATATTTTGTTGGGAGTAATCCAGTCTGAATGCTAATGCCAAAGGGATGTAGCTCACCCACAAAAGCCTTTTATCAAGGAAACTAACTATAGTTATAGTTATAGTTAGATATTGTGATATTCTCTGGAAACTGGAGGAGGAGTAGATTTCATGAAGCTCCGGAAAACAGGGGCAGTAACTCTGTCAAAATTTGTCGAAATAAAACGGGACTGCGATATGCGTATCATCAACATGTCGACATCTTTGTGTGTAGAGTGTCGGATATTCTCTAAAAGCTGGAGGAGGAGTTGATTTCACAAGCTTAGTACCCTCTCTCACAATTAGGCAAATGAAGCTCCGTAAAACAGGGGCAGTAACTCTGTCAAAATTAATCGAAATGAAACGGGACTGCGATATGCGTATCATCAACATGTCTACATCTTGTGTGTAGAGTTTCAGGGATATTCTCTGGAAACTGTAGGAGTTGATTTCCCAAGCTTAGTACCCTCTGTGGGACGGACGGACTGCGCCACGACATAATCCCCCTTCGGCCATTCTGGCCCGGCGGGGGATAAAAACATAATTACAAGAACGTATGTTTTCACTATATGTTCGCATCATATAAACATTTCCTAACACTTGAATATTTTAAAGTTGTAGCTTAATATCTGAGCTCTTAATACGTAGTTTACAAATACGGTTTACATGTTTTTCTCACACCAAGCCCAGGCAAGTTCGATGGGCCGTTACTATTTCTATTTGATGGTGATTCATAGACACATGCTCATGATATAGTCACAAAGTTGAAGTCACCAATTACAAACACATGCAAAGGGAAGGCAATTATTCACTTACAAAAGCATTGGGACATATGGTATAAGTCCAAATAGCGAAGTAATCCCTCTTGTCATACAATCTTGTGGAGAGGTTTTTGTCACTCTGAATCTTTATGCATAGATCCAAAGCTCAAGTTAAAACATCTTGGTCGAATTGCGTTGACTGCCAGAAATAAATATTCCTATGCATAAGGAAACATCTCAGCTATAGAGGGAGCACAATTGGTGCCCATGGGGATGCCTACTTCTTGCCTTAATGTCTTACTCCCAACTTTTACCTAGATGTTATCAATGTCCAGCATTTCACATTTTGTTTTCTCATGAACAGTACTTCGGATTTCATTTGATTTCGTGTTTAACAAATTGTCCCGAGTGGGCGAGTGGGTTTTGTTTAACGCCGCTTTTAACAGTATTCCAGTTATATCACGGCGTGTCAGCTTAATGTGGGAGGAAAGCCCGAAGTGATGCAGGTCTTAGACGTTTACCACTTCGGTGAAACCCACGATCACGGGTATGGTGCTGACAAACCTAGAAACACAAGTATTTGTCACAAAGTGACGAAATGTCCCCCGCCTGTATATACACCATAGTACCAAATATGAAGACAATCCAGCGATTAGTTCTTGAGATATTGCGGCAACACCGTTTTCCAACTCCAAAAACAGATTTGCCTGCTGTGACCTTGAAAATGGGGTCAAGATCACCAAAACCGACTGGTGTATGCAGTGTCTGTATATACACCATAGTTCCAAATATGAAGACAATCCAGCGATTAGTTCTTGAGATATCGCGGCAACACCGTTTTCCAACTCCAAACGCAGATTTGCCTGCTGTGACCTTGAAAATGGGATCAAGGTCACCAAACCCGACTGGTGTCTACGGAGTCTGTATATACACCATAGTTCCAAATATGAAGACAATCCAGTGTTTAGTTCTTGAGATATCGCGGCAACACCGTTTTCCAACTCCAAAAGCAGATTTGCCTGCTGTGACCTTGACAATGGGGTCAAGGTCACCAAAACCGACAGGTGTCTGCGGTGTCTGTATATACACCATAGTTCCAAATATGAAGACAATCCAGTGTTTAGTTCTTGAGATATCGCGGCAACACCGTTTTCCAACTCCAAAAGCAGATTTGCCTGCTGTGACCTTGAAAATGGGATCAAGGTCACCAAAACCGACTGGTGTCTGCGGAGTCTGTATATACACCATAGTTCCAAATATGAAGACAATCCAGTGTTT